CCATCTCACCATCTCACCATCTCACCATGCTTGCCAGCAGAGACTCTTGATTGATACCATTTTAGAGTTGAAGTACTCATGAATTCAAAATTCAAAATGGATGGAGACACCCAAAATCATTTACACTGTTGATTTATACTCTTAATATTGTCCATCCAAATACTATAACATTACAGTCACACCTAAATATTTTTCTTAAATAACCCACGCTTTGCTCTTGTCACTTTATAAACTCTTCTGCTTCTATTTGCCAAATGAATAATACTTGAGAGTCTCCAAGTTCCGTGGTTAAATTGGTCAGATATCGAGACAGAAAACTTATAACTCAAGTAAATAATTGTACGAGGTCTTGTGTTTGAATTTCTTCCTCTCAATATTGCTTGTGTGAAACATCTCTTCGTCGAGGAGAAGCCTATGCCCATCTATTTGTTCACGAGTTCATCTAAACCATCACGTGTATACTTTTAGAGTGCGCATTTGCTGCGGTACCATTCACTCACAGCCTCAAACCTCAACAGGTGGGACCCAATCTGGTACCAACCAACCATGTCACTTAAAATGCTACGCGCACGTGGTGTCATTACCGGACCAGCCGGTCACCTTCACCGGATAATATCGGTAACACACACAAACATATGCTTCCTATTTCATCTTAATTTAAAAAAAAAATTAACGGTCAAGATCTCTTATAATTCTCCCTTCCCTGTCAAAAACAACTCTCTCTCTCTCTCTCTCGTCCGGTGCTTTATTTATGCATTTTTGTTTGCTGTAGTTGGAAGCTTTTTATTAGTTTCTCTCAGCTAGCTCAGGGTCTGGTTGAAGGGTTTATTGGCTTGGATATCAGGTGAATTTGGTTGTATGTTTGTTGTATTTCTTTTTCTGAGTGATTGTGGGCTGAGATGGAGAGGGATTTCTTGGGTTTGAACTCAAAAGAGTCGGTGTTAGTGGTGAAGGAGGAGATTAGTAATGATGGATGCAAAGACTCAGGTGAGTGATTTTCTCATTCACTTCATTTTAGCCACAGCAATTCTTGAGGCTTTCATTTCTCAAGTGTGGAATCTTTGAGCTTTTTTTTGGTCTCTGAATCATGTGCTATTTTCAAATTCTGTTCTAGTTAAGCAATTTTTCTTTGCATGGCTGGTAGATTAAAATATGAAGATTGACTTAATTTTATGACATCTTATTGTTCTATCTGACTAATTGTTTGGCTGTTTGCATAGCTAGCAACTAGGAAGAGCGACATAAAAATTTATTCAAGTTTTTACCTTGAGTGTCCCAATCTAATTCTTCAATGTTATTATGCCATCTTCTGTTGGCTTAAGAATTTCCTGTAACTTAGAATTTTGAACAAATTTGGGAGGTGGGGGAAACAAAAAGCATGCACAGTTTATAGTAATTTTTGGCTTTTAACTAAGTTTTGTTTCTTCACCCTGTTTCACTTTTTAGGGTATGCTAGAGGTGCAGGAGGTGCACATTGGCCCTTCTTGAACAAGGTCTCTGCACTTCCTCATTTGATGTCTTTCAAAGCTGCTCAAGATGATAAGACTAAAAAGATGGTATCTGAGTCCTTCTTGTCTTCTGGATTCATGCCTATCTCAACTGCAGATGCATTTGACCATTGTCAAAAACAGGCTCCATGTGAAATTCAGGTATGCTTTGCCGCCTACGTGTTAATTCATTTGTTGGCAACTGGGGGCTGTTGGAAATAGATAGTACTTCTGTTTTGCATATTTGACTTCTAGATCGATTTTTATTCATTATTTTGGCTTCAGTTGCCATGCCTGAAAATTTGGATCAGCTAGTTTCCATGGCTTTTCAAACAACAATTGATGTATCATCAAGATATAAGATCGGTTCAGTGTCTTCTGATAGTATTATTATTATTGCCCATTCCCTCATTGGTTTCTGGTTTTTATCATCTAGAATTACTTCAATCACGATAGGCAAGATGGCACTCATTTTTCCCTGACAGCTTATCCTATGCAACATGATGTGCATTCTGTTCATCGTCCCCATGATGCGAAGATGATTTCAGTTACCAATCAAGGATTTTCTGTTCCTGTGAGCAACCCTTTCTTCAAGAATCACTTTGCTACTACTGGTCAGAATTTTGCTGCCACTACCATCAAGCAACAATTGCAGGGAATTCCTGTTACAGCTCCTTACTCAATTCTTCCAGTTGCAGGGAGGACCGAACCATGGTAATTTTGATTTTATGCTTGAATTATTGATTGACCATTTCACAAAATTTATTAAATTGTTGAGTGTTTTGTTAAATCATTCTTTTTAGGAACAATTCCAAGAACTCTGGGTCTCCTTCACAATTGACAATCTTTTATGCCGGCACTGTGAATGTCTATGATGATATCTCCCCTGAGAAGGTACCCTTCCTTCTGCTCCTGCTCACACATCCATAGACACATGCGCGCACACATAAAAACATGGGTTTTTGTTGTTGTCAACCTTCAATTGGGTCATTGGTGAGCTCAAAAGTTGTTTTGTGACATCTTTCCAGGTTCAGGCTATGATGCTTTTGGCTGGAAATGGTTCTTCCATCTCCTCTAATGCTCCAAAAACTCAAGCACCTAGTGCAAAGTTTCCAGTGGAAGTTGGTGTTCCTGTGAATCAGCCAACAAATACACCACCATCTGGTCTTTCTAGCCCCTTATCTGTTTCTTCACATACTGGTGTCCAGTCAGTAAGTGGGTCCACAAACACTGATGAGCTAATGGCACCAAGAACGACTGGACATCCAACCAGTCCTGTTAGCAAAATGGAGCCTCCGAAAATAGTAAATGCAGTTGGATCTGTTGCTGCAACTTCTATGATTCCTTCTGGTATGATACTTTGTAATTGAATGTTGGTTCTTAACTTTCTAATAGTGTTTTCTCAACAAAATCTCTGATTTTTGGTGGCATTCAATATTTCTGAACATTGTAATATGATGAACAAGTTTTGAGTTATTCCAAAAATAACATTATCAGAGGTTTCTATTTTCAGCATGCATCAAAATTTTCAATATGTTTGTCTGACCCTCAGTAGTATGACTTTTAAGTAGAGTTGTGATCACAACGTTAGGCTTTTTTCCTTTTTATCTTTTGATTGGACAATTGTTTCGCTTTAAACTTGCATATGCTTTTTTATGCAGCTGTTCCACAGGCTCGGAAAGCATCCTTGGCTCGATTTTTGGAGAAGCGCAAGGAAAGGTGATTTTTTCATTGATCCCCTCAACTACAAATTTTAAAACTATTATGAATTGTTTACTGTCCATTGTAGTAAGAAATAACATAAGTTAGAACTTATGGTTGTCAGAGTCTGCTGCCTTTTCTGTGGTTATTTGGTGAATGACATATGGTTTACAAAATGACGGGAGGCCCAAGCCAGAGAAACTTTAGGACTTCATCTTCCTATCTTACGCAATTCTGCACCTAACAACTAACGTAGGTGGTCGGGTTTAGGAGGTTACAAAACAGTAACACTGTTTCGGAGCAATTAGACCATTTCTTTCTTTTTCTTATATTAAACTTTTAGAAAGAAGGTTGTCGGTGGGTATGGTGTGTTCTACATTAAAAGTTGGGTTTGTTGATTAGGACAGTGGGTTGCATTTGTGCAAACATTGCTTATTTCCTAGGAACAGCTAAACAGCTGCCCCAACATATAACTTCAAAATTGACAAGCAGGCAGATATTAATATATGTGATGATGGTAATTGGACCGCTAATAATATCTTGGAGTTCCTTCTTTGTCTGTGGCTATGTGCAGGGTAATGATTTCCGCCCCGTACAACTTCAGCAAGAAATCCCCAGACTCCAATGGAGTGAATTTCACCCAGCAGGGAGAACAACAATGATGTAGAATGCTGAATTGGAGGTGGGATTATTGCAAAATTAATGTAGTATATGTAAAGCATATTGTTCTTCAAAATAACTGCTACCTTGAATTCGAAGTCTTAAACTAAGATTCATCCCAAGTGTTGTAGGGTAGGGATTCTCCCCCCAATTATTACATTGAGCACCTTTGTGTAATATATAAGTTTTACGCTATTCAGTTGTGGTGAAAATAAATAATACCTGCCGGAAACTTATAAAATTGTAAGCCTATGTTGCATTATTGTGGGAGACACGGAAGATGATGTAAAATCATTGTCACCATGGTAGAGGAGCACACGAGATATGATGAGTGGCTGTTCTTTCCAGGATTTGTGTGGTTGTTGGATATGATCATTAAACCTGTTTCTTGGTTTGTTTTGTTCCTTTTTTTTTCAACCTTTTCTTTTCTTTTTGGTCTGGAAAAACATCCTATCTCTGAGCCTGGGTTGAGTTGGTTAATTTTAGTGGGCACCAAAAACTAGAAGAAATTGGGAAATAAGAAGAAAACGTAAGAAAAATCCATCTCCAAGTTAAGAGGGCAGTTTGGTTTCAGCATCAGTCACGTTTACAACGACAATTTTCGGTTGAGGTTGAGTGGGACCGGTGGTGGGTCCGCGATTGTGAACATAACGTGCAATTTCGTCAAAGCATTTAACCAATCAGTGCCTTTAAATTTTGCATTGGCGTGACGTGTAGGTCTAGTTGTCGCCACCTACGCTGTCACTTCCTATCATTGGCAATTTAGCACACGGAGGAATGTCTATGGATTAAATTTTTAAATAATACAAAATATCCCTTTGTTTAAGAACATTTTAAAGAGACAAATAGGCAAAATAGTACTTTATTAAAATAAAAATAAATCATATAATAATTTGGAAGTTCTTTTTTGTTTTTGGGTTTTGTTAATAGTTTCTAGGTCTAATGATTCTTCCTTTTGTATTTGTTCTTGTTTTAATGCGTTAATTTTTTGTGGATGTGTAATCTTTAGGATGGGACATCAACATTTTTGCCAATTATGCTAAACAGCATCATCCGTGACCCATCCCATCCCATCCCATGTGAAACGATAACAAATTTGCTCACCACTCCATTTTTATGTGTAGAACAAATATTTGAATATCCAACCTTCTATCCTGAATCTTTAATTTTCTGGTAAATAAACAATAATTTGACATTCGATTTCAAGTTCTATTGAAAAGAAAATCTAATAAAAATAACTCCACCTAAGCCTTCCTACTTCTGTCGCTGGTTACATATATAATCTTACCCTATACACGATTTTACATACTTGATGAAGAAAGTAATCTTATATTGTTCTGTATTAACTCAAAAGTGTTAATGGAAGAAAGTTCACCTGCTTAAGAGAAATGCTAAAACCCTAAAATTATGATGCATTCTGGACCAACTTGGGATGAGTAGCAGCATAAATGGAAGAATTCGTGTCAGGTTTTAAGTGGAAAAGGAGGTGCTGTATGTCTGGACGTAGGCTTTCTGCAGCTCTTCCACAGAGAGCTAAAACCTCTGGTCTGGGCTTGCTGTTTGCCTGCACAGGGCCTCCCTGCCCTTCGTAATGGATTATGTGATGGCTGAGAAACACAACGGGTTATGCATAGTTAGCTGTAGTGAGGCACCAGACAAATCATAGATCAAGCCACATACACAGAATTTGTTTGTTTCAAGGACAGCACAGAACAGCACTTACAAGAAGTCAATAAGATCTGCTATTTCTAATGGTTCAACAGGAGTCGGTGGCTGCGTATTCTTCCCGAAGACATCCACCATCATACTTAAAATCAATGAGAGGGTCTGCAAAAAAATTACGAAAATGATTAAACACGGAAGATTGAAACTTTAATCATCATCTGAACCCCACATGGCAGACTAGTTAATTGTAATAGTTGTGAAAAGTGGTCATCCAAGACACCCAACCAAGATTATGCATGAAGAGTACCCAAAGAGCATGATTACCAGCATTGCACGATACAGTAATCAAGTCAATCACAGCACTCCACAGGTGAAGCACCCTTGCACCATCATGCCCATGATATATAACATTCAAACGAAAAAAGAAAAATACTGGGATTTTTCCTTTTCCCCTTTCAGTTATATTTGATTAAAGAAAAAGCAAATCAACATTGGGCTGTTTGGTACATGTTACCTTGGATGAAATTCAAATCAACATTGGAAATGAGTGAAACCTTAGGTGAGATGAGATTCTATTAAAAGTTCCCAATGAGTGAATTTCTGTACCTTACTGAAGAGGGCATGTGCATTGGCAAGTTTAGGGAGCAATGGACTCATTATACGGAATGCTATTCTCAACATTGCAACGGATGTCACTGGCCTGAGATGTTTGATGATAAGATGGGTCCCTTCTAGCCATTCCTGTGGGAGGTTACTGAAAAAAGAATGAAGCAGGGCAACAATATTACCTAGAATCACAACAAGAAAAGGAGTTTATGGTCAGGAATCAGAAATGTGTATGGACATCATTAAAGAATGTGTTAATTAGCATAGAGTTAACTATAGATTCTCAGATAGGGAAGCTTAAATATCAGTAAATAACCACTGGATATTGTAGCATACCAATGGCTGTTGAGGTATTGTCTTGAGCAGCCCATGTTGGATCCAACAAAGCATAACCAACAGCAGAGTCTAGTTCCCCCAGTGACCTTTTGCCGTCAGTGAGCCACCATGTTTCTTTTATTATACGTGACGCCTCTATATAGAGTTGTACATGAAAATCAGAAGGCAGCTGAGCCAGCAGAAGACCACAGGCTTGGATCAATAAGCAAGACAATTGTTGGCATGTGTAACCACTTCGAGAAACAAAGTTAGATGCATTTATTCCTGATACTGAAGCTGTTGATCTGCTTGTGCCTAAGGAATCTGTGCTTCCACCTGAAGGGGATGTCGGTAAAACTGAGCCTTGGCCAACACCATTTGGAGCTCCATGCAAGCCATTGCTGGATTGAATTAATGTCGGTTGTATATTGACGACAATTTGAACCAATGATGATACAATCTGGGATGCGGATACGGGAAGAGAGAGTAATTCAATTACTGCTGTTTCAAGAACCAGTTGAGTATATGTGCCTGGATCCTGAATTTGATAAAATGCTTTTTGGCCATCAGACACATTTGTTTGCCCAGACTGAGACGTTGCTGGAGTCTTGTTAGGTGGGGCACGCATTGAATTATTTAGAGCATCACTCACTGAACCAGATTTTGAGTTGTTATGCAATGGAGGTATGACATTATTCACTAATCCCAGTAAGAGTGTTGCAAAGTAATCCGGAGGCGGGCACATGGCAGAATTTGATGAATTAACGTGCGATGGGAATGACTCAGAAAATGGGATCTGAAACGAATTTGGAGTTAAATAACTAATTGGAGAAAAAAGTAGTACTGGTTACCAAAAGAATAGAAAGGAGAGCAAAGTCATTACCTTGTTGATATCGAGTCCATTCAATATTCGAACAATAAGCTTTACAGGAAGATGACCATAGAAATATGCAAGTATATCACGAACAAATGTAAATCTTAAAGGGTGGTAAGCAAGAAATTGGGAATACATGGCCAGAACTCTTTCAGCCGAATCCTTGGCATCATTTTCAATTAGTCTATAAACTATCAATGGAATCACTGGAAGCAAACGTGCTGCAATATCATCAAAGAATGTGGGATACCTATATAACGTAACAGACCATGTCAGTGAATATGCATAAACAATTTGCAAAGTTTAACTTTTAGCCAAATGTTATAATTCTTCTCTCAGCATAAAAACCGTATATAATCCATCCCGAAAAAGTTATTATTTAACATATCAACCTGTCCTTCCAAGAGAGATGATTCCCAAGGGCCTTTTGCAATTCAACTCGTTTGAAGACTCCAGAGTAAATCCAGTGTTCAGGGGGACCTCGATTCATACAATATAGTTTCACTCTTTGTTGAAGTTCTTGCCTATCAAGTAGACTCATCTGCAGCACATCTTAGTCCATTATCACATCACGAAGAACATATATTGCAGCGTTGTACATTTCAAGATTAGTTTTTTTAATACATAAAATTTAATTCTCACATCAATCCTAGTTAAATTTAATTAATTGATATATAAGAGGTGTTTAATGGGTAAGTAACCCATGAACACAAATTCCATAACACCAATAGGAAGCTACAATTCAAAGTACCCAGGAATAAGAAAACCAACAAGAGAAATATAATAACCAAGTCCAGTATATAAACTCATGACAAAAATTAATCAAGGCTGTCAAGAGAATAAGAAACACAATACTGCAAACAGTAGACATCCAGTCAAACACAACACTGCCAAAGCTTAATCAACAGCAGATCACTGCCATTGAAAATGCAATGTATTCCTTTCTCACAACAACAGACATGATACAAGGCGAACTTTTACTTATAAGAAATTCTTATAATGGGTTGCAATCATTAGTTGAACATAAGACATGCAATAGCACAAAATCAAGATGAAGTAACACGCTACACAGAGCACAAGAAGAAATGATGCTGGAATAAAGAATTCACCTCATCACTTTAAGGCACAAATAGTTTCAAAGATACAACAATAACCATTACAGAAAATGAGCTAATCATGCTCTAAAAAAGGATTTGAATTATCAAAGATTGAAATAGTATATGTACATGTAATCATGATTATTCATTATAAATTAAAAATAAATAAAAATTTGAAAGCTCGTACCACAATACGCAAAGCATGGGGGTCATCATCACGATCAATAAGTGCCAGAAGCAAAATATCCAAAGGGAGTAACTCGTGGGTCCAAATATAAAATGCTAGGTTTGCGCAAGCTTTCAGTAAGAGGTCCTGAAAAATAAAATTTTAATGCAATGCTCATAAAGACGACTGAACATGCATTGCAATACATAGGATTTTGAATTGAAAACCTACAAACAATTTACAGACCTGCAAAGAATGGCCGTGCTGAAGTTCCAACTGAATGTGATGAAGCAGAACATCCACCATTGTATAAATATTATGCGTCACTTCCTCAGGGGAAAACTCCCTCAAGACACGTGCCTGAAGCCATGTAATGGAAGGGATTAATATAGAACAAGAGAATAGAAAGAAGCAACAGTTTCTTAGGAAAGACAAATGGAAACCTGCCAAGACTTAGAGGTCATAGCAAAGGATCAGTAGTAAGTACTAACCATAGTGTCATTCATGATACTGAAACTTACCAAATTTACACTGTTAATGTTTTCTGGGTGCCCTTGCATCAGGATCCATGCACCAGCACATAGATATTTTCGGTGTTGAGGAAAGCTATGACTGATATAGGTCATAACATAAGTAGGATCAGCTGATGGTGACAAAAGCTGGGTGCATTGGTTAATCACAGTGGTTTCCGCCTGCAAAAAGGAGCAGATATTTCAACATTATGACTGAATGATCAAGCAATCAGAAAATAGGTAGGGGCCATACTTCATATTTACCACAAAATAATCCTTAGGTTCATCACCAAGACGTAAGAGATAGCAGCTTTGGAAGGATTGCAAATTTCAAGTTGAATTGTTCAAATCCTTACAAATTTTCAGTTAGACCCAAATTTTCAAACTGGGGTTTTCACAGGATTCTCATTAATAGATTCTAGCTAGAGTCTTACACAAGTATTATGAAAAGCAAAAAGAGGAACAATACTGTAATGTGATGTTCTAGACGACGTATCCATGGGTAAATGTTGGTAGTATTACTACTGCAAATTCTATTAAAGATGGCAGGAGTATGAAAAAGTACATCCATACAGGTATATCCAAGAAAAGAAAAGTATTTACAAAATCTTCAACCATCAAAAGAATAAATACTGTAATGTCATGTCTAGTCGACATACTCATGGTAAAGTTGGTAGTATTATTACTGTAAATTCTATTCAAGATGGCAGGACTGTGCAAAAGTATATCCATACATGTATATCCAAGAAATATTCCTAATATTCCTAATATTCTATGTTCCAAAACCAAGTCTCACAGTAGAAGTTAATAGAAGAACTACAGAAAATTCTATTCAGCCCTGTAAGATAACAAAATCATCTTTATCAACCAAAATATTTCAGTTTGATACTTTTTAAACAACAGAATAGGGGATACAATAATGAAACCAAATAGCACTAAGTTGGACGATTCCCTTCTCTGTCAATGACATCTGAGTTTTGACAGCAGAAAAACAAAGTTGCAGATCAACAAAACAAACACAGTGAAAAAAATTAAAAAATTGGGAAAGCAACAATGAACCTGCTGCCATGCTTGAATTGCCAAACCCCTTTTATCTATCCGAGGAATCAAGAAATCACGAAGAAGAGGAGGGAAAAAGCGTAGTGTTTCATCTGACCATGTGTGTTCACTAGTGGCTAATATCTGCTCTAACATGGTTTGAAGATAAAGCAGATGATCAGCATCAGCAATTCCTCGTGTCTTAATGATGATAGCAAGAGTGACAACAGTTATTCGATTCAAAGTTTCTGTGAATTCAGTTGGGCCCTGCCAAAGAGTAACAACACGTATAATTACATCTTAGTTCAGTTACGAAAGTTCAACAGAAAACAGGTTGCAGTTTGGATAAAGCACTATATACCTTCCCTTCCCTTTTCACCAAGAAAAAATCTCTCAAAGACAGAATTAGATTCATGCACAAGTTCTCGGCCAATCTAAATACACGATGGTCTCCACGTTTCGATTTTAGAGCAGAAATGATCTTTGTAACATCATACATCAACGCTTTGCTTTTTCCTTGGTACCTATATGGAAGATATGACAACTTATAAATTTAAACTTTAAGTGGCATCATACTGCATATAAAAGAAATATAGCGTTAATATTTACAGCATCTGAAGCCAAGAGAGTCATGCCAAAACATTGCAAATTATAATTACTTGACAGAAGTGTAATTTCACAATATGGATAGTAAAAATACTGGCCTGTAAAGTGGAAGCAAACGGTAATTCAAAATTTCAAGCACCAAAAGAGTTACGCCTGGCTTGCTCAATACCGACGGGTTCCTTTGTGCCAAATGCTGAGGTATCAAAAAGATTATTGTTAAATTATAAGTTAATGAAAAGCAAAAGGTTACAACAGTATTATTTCAGAAACAAACAAGGAAAGTAGACTTTAAGCATATGAGTAATGGTGCCTTACAGTGACAAGGGCAAAAAAAAAGTATAAACAAAAGTTTCCAAACTACAAGTTAAGACTGCAAAGATTTGTCTGTAATAGCCAAATCAACAAAATAGTTACAGACGCCAATGCCCAATGGTAAAGAAGAACCACACCTAGCAAAAGTCCAAGATATATCAGGAAGACCGACCCTGTGTAGTCCCACAAGAGAAGCAAATAATCAACATGGACTTTTGCTTTATATATTTCATATGATTTCAGCTTTATTCAGTATCATGCTAATTTTTTAAGGCGCCAACAAGCCTACTAGTAAAGTTTCAAGTAGTTTTGCCAGCATCAAAGTTGAGATGGGCTATAAATATGGGAAGGGCTACCCTCATAGTGCAGCCTACAGTCAGCCTTTGATCTTTAAAAATTTAAGTGAGGTGCCCTTTGGGGGAATACATTATTTTAAAAGAAAACTGAGAAATGAGAATAATCAGAGAAGGAACGGAAACCTTAGAGTTAAAGAAAATTACACTGAAATGAGAACGAAATAATGAATGAGGTGCAATGAGTAGCAGCCTAGTATATGTTTCTGCCATTGCAATACTAGGTACAACCTGCATTTGAAATATAAGAATACAAAACAAAAGAAAGTTCAAAAAGTGTAAGTAATAGGTCAGCTGATATATGAAAAAAGATTTTCTACTAAGAAGCCATCATATATTATCAGATTCACAGTAAGAAAGGATAGCTTGAAGTAGCAACTAGTTCAAATTATCAAACATAAATCTCAAACACGAAACAATCCATAAAGTGCAAGATGTGCTTGTCTGTGCAAGAGAGAGAGAGAGAGAGAGAGAGAGAGAGAGAGAGAAGGGGTCAACCATTCTTTGTTTTTCTTCTTTGACTAGTTTACATGTTTGAAAGACGCATTAGGCAATACAAACATGAAAACTTTCATGCCCTCAAGAACCCAGTCAAGTCACTTCTTTTCTTTCATTAAATTAAGCATTACTACTTTTATCTGCATACTAAAATATAGGCAACTATTTTATTTTTGCTTTCCCCCTTCCCCTTCATTATGCTATGTGCATGTAAATCCATGTTCTTACAGCCTGCAGCCTCTGGCCATCCTATAGCATGCATACATCAATAAAAAAACAAAAAAAAAGTTTTCAATTATCAAAAAATATCATTAAGGCCTAACCGCAAGCTTAAAATGGCAATAACCAAGAAATAAAAAAAGAGTACCTGGCCAGAAAATAAAGATTCTTCCATTTGATACGCCAGCTTCAAACATAGGTTTATTGAAAAGCCAGATAACAATGACATCGGCAATGGACTTACTTCCCGCATAACCATTAACCTCTCATTGGACTGTAGGTTTGTTCCTGACTCAGCAACTCCAGCAGCTGATAACCAATTGATCACAGTTTCACAAGCTGGCTGCGCCATGGTGTAAGACACAACCCAAAACATCCCAATTGACCTATCATCCATATTCATATAATCCACCATTCGATCCCCTGAAATAGAAACCAACAGATGCATGTTCACAAGATTTCCAGGAAAATGTCCCTTTGATAAAATTTACTAAATTTTCTACCACAGGTATCAGAATTAGAATATGGTATACACAGGACATTTTATAATACTAATTTGTGATTTTATTGCCAGCAATGGTCAATTTGCAATAGTTTTAAAGTGGAATATGCCTTTGCTTGCTTGCCTCCACCATTCATCTATTTGCTTTCCTTTCTGAAGCTGCTCGTTATTCAGATATTCTCTAGTTGTCGTGTTCAACGACCAAATACGTAAATTCTGGCAACTGCTTATGAAGTCGAGCAGGATACTCTGAGGACTATTCGGATCTGAGCTTTTATCTTCTTTATGAAACGATAGGATCTTTCGGGTCGTCTCCACCTACATGCAATAAAGCTTCAGATTATAAATATGATGTCATCAGGCAGTACGAAATAATTACTTAGGAAACAAAAGAAAATGACAGATATCATTCTTCGGGAACAAGAATAATGCCCATATTTAGTTAGTGCAGCTAATATAAATACTTTGGAAAACATAAATTATAAATTTCTAATGTTAGGTAGACAAAGAAAGTGGCAAGAAGCAATACAAAATGAAGTGACTTCAGTAGAAAGACAGTGAATTTTAATTTTCTAAGACAACCTTTCTAGCATCTCCATTTAAAGCACTCATCACAAGCTCAACCCGAATAATTTGAGCAAGAAGCCAAGTGACATGATTTGTCCTAAGAATAAGTTGATCACCCTCTGTAAGGCGTGAAACTAGCTTGTCCACAAAATCAACAAAATCAACACATCCACTTTTTATAAGAAAAAAGAATATATCTGAAAAGACAAGCCACTCTTGCCAGCAATTAATATCTGCAAGGAACAAAATATAACTAATTAGCTGACTAAAATAATCATTATGCAAGTAGCCACAACCAAAAAGTAAAAATGTAGAATAGCTCTAAAACAACTAGGATTGAAAAATAAGTTCTGAAAAAAATAGTACTATAAAATGTCCTAAGCAAAAAGGTCCACAGTACTCCATAAATGAACAATAAAGCTAATCAACAGGTAATCTTACTAATTAACAATGAAATATTACCTGAATTTGTCAATTTCAATAGCTCAACAATCCTATCAATTGTTCCCTCACAAATCATTTCAGAAGTGAAAACAGCACCAGGAGTAGGCCCTTGAGAAGGAGACCTATAGCAAGGGGCTACAAGCAGCACGCGTTTCCACCAGTCAGGAGATGGAGTAGTACAAAGAGCATGCCTTATACAACGCAACGCTCTCTCCCAATCCAAACTTCCTTTTGGAATTGAAGTTGCAAGATCCTACACCAGCCAAGGGAGAGCAATTTCCAAATTATAGAAGTTTTTGAGTGCCCTAAAAATGAGCTCAAAATAAGTAGCATATATACAGTAATCATGCTTGGTCAAGATTATTATCTCTTTTTACAGATTTACTAGTACATTATCATCATCTTATCATCCAATGATACTAAACTATTCTGCAAACATGGTATATACTCATATTCTCTGCACAAATAATGAATTTTTAGATTAACTCATCACCTCTCCGTGCAATGGTTCTCCAAGAACACTTGGATATGTAATTGGTGAATACCGCAAGCTCGCTACTGCTTCGCCTGAAACACTAGGAGTAGTCTGTGAGAAAATCCGATGAGTCCCAAATGTAGGGCAATGTAGGTGTTGATCTAGCATTTTCATGTGCATAGCCATCATATCTCGCCTCCTATGGATCTCCAAGATTAGAGTAAATAAGGCTTCATCATCAGGTATATTCTCCATAAATTGCAAGCCACTGCGCAGTAATTCATAGAAGGGCACTCGGCATTTATCCTCATCAACCAAAAGCCATATCACATCCAAACAGCTATGTAGCCATTCAATTAGAGCCTTGCCAGGTCTCCAGGATTTTACACCATCAGATTCATCAACCCCCAGTTGTTTTTGATCCCAATTAACCAGCCAATTCAGCATATGGGAAAAGATGTCAGCATGAGTTACTGGTTTTAAATTAAATTCAAGTCCAGTTAAAATAATCTTGCAACACAGCTGACGTAGACTGCTTATAGCATTATCTCTTATAGATGAATTGACTCTTGCCGTCGCCTGCTGTCCATTGCAGGGCATATCAGATGATTTAACTGGTGACATAGTTACACAAGATGATGGCTCAATAGCAGACTGGCCGGGGGAACCAATACCATGTACTGCAGGTAATGGAGAAGCGGGATTTGAAGTTTGAAAATTAGACGAATGAGGAATGTTATTTGAAGATTGAAGCATACCGGACTGTGATGAAACAGCAGGCATTGCTTGACTCCCTTGACCCACTGACATTTCTGCAGTGGAGACCGAAGAAAAAAGGGAGGGCAAAAAGCTATCCCAGTTAATGTGACCTATAGTGCACAAGCTCCTTAAAGCAAAAAGAAGAAATTCTGCTCGCGGTGCATGATTACTACACTGCACAACTAGAGATATAAGAACAGACTCTGTCACAACACGCAGTTGATCTTGGTCCTGAAATACATGGAACAACATCAGACCAACTAACTTAAAGAAATAAAACTACTAACAACAATGATAATAAGGTCATAGTAATGGTTGAATATGGCAGAGGAACGGGTTTAAACAAATAGGTGAGACATATGATACTTAAAGGTGCATCAAATTCTGCAACTTACAGGAAACTGGCTCTGCAGTTGCTCAAAATCTAGAAGGAACTGCTCATTTCGAGGAGGAAGCTCCCTATTAAGAGCAACTACACGCTTCTGTGACTTGTTCCTGAAGAATCGACAACAAAAAACTTGTTCAAACAAATGGTTTATTTCCAACTTCGAAATAGCCGTATAATTGTTATCAAATCAACTGTAAGGTTTGTGCACTCAGCACCCAAAAGTATTATGTCTACTACATGTTGGTAGTTGGTGCAATGTGAGGGAAAAAAAAAAAAGAAGGAAGCAAAAAGAACAGCAATTTAATTTCAATTCATATGATTCAAACTAATTGAGCAGCCAAAACCCAAAAGACAGAGCTTTCAGCTAATAGATAGACACGCTTTCGAATGAATTGATAGCTAACATACGTAAATTTATCTATGGATATATAATACTTACGGAGGTTCTCGAACTGAATCCTCAGGCTTTTGGCGACTACTTCTCTGCCAAGAAAGAAAAAAGAAAAGAAAATTTTCAGATGAAATCGCATTAGAAAAACTTAACGAAAAGGAAAGAGGGAAGGAAAACTGATACGCACTCCTAAGTAGAGGTCGAATAGATTGACAATTGCAGCACGTGCGGGGTGGAACTGGTAAGCTCGGGAAGCTGATGCTGAGGACGATGATGATCTCTGGTTTTGATCCATTTTTCTCACTTCATCTCCAATCGGAGCACCCACAAAGCCAAGCCAAGCCAACCCAAGGAAAGACTATAAAGCCAACAAAGAGTAAGGGGCAAAGTGAACAGGAACTAGAATGAGTTGCGTTTTTCTTCAGGCAGCCAGAGGCGCTTCACTTTGTATTGGGCCAATACTTATACTTGGGTAGTTGACTGGGGCGGCTCCGGGGACCCGAATCACATACGGATACGGATACACGTGCGTGCTGACTTAATTGCCTTTATTTTATGCTTTATAAATAAACTAACTAATGTAAATTACCGAAAAAATAATAATAATTAATTCTTTATTTTTAGCAGGATAAATTGAGGTCATTTTTAAAATCAAATATTAAAACTAATTTATTTGAAAATATTATAATTATAAAATATCTTTAATATAGATATAGATTATAATAAAATATCCACGTTAGGTTTGTTTGAGTACTTGTAATTCTTAATGAGCCGGAAAATAAATATGTTCAATGTGACGCTTGTTTAGTTACCTTCGAAAAATAATTTATTATTACATTCATTAATAACATGATTATAAAACAAATTTGGTTGCTTTTTTGTTAATAAAATTAGATAAATAAACCTCTTGCTATAGTAAAAGAGTGACAATCAAATGTCCATCGTGGGGCTACCCATTTTCTATATATATATATATAAAGACAAATATAAAAATAAAAGAACTGCACCTTGTCCAGAACATGACCGTTGAATCCAGCTGCCAAGCCACGTCAGTATAAGTGGTGTCCCTCGTGGATTGTGAAGTGAGGCCAAACATTAGCCCTCCGATAAGAGGCCCAACCCAATGATCTGATCTGTGGTACCGCTTACTAGTTACTATGCAACTGCATGTAAATCTTAGCCGTCCGATCTCTGACACACTCTGTGATCATCTGCTTCTGCTCCATAAACCCACCTCTTTATTTACAAACTTAACCCTCTCTCTCCTTTGTCTCACCAGTTCACACTACACTCTTCCACAAACCTCAAAAGGAGCTCCCTTTTCCCTTTTTCTCTCTATTCTCCCTCCCTACTTGTTTCCTTTTATTCTTGCCCTTTTCGTTTCGTTGGGTTTTGTTTAATCTTTCTTTCTGAGGGTTTTCTTTTGAGATTGCCCCTGTGGGTTTCTTCGTTTCTATGGTTTTGGAGGAAGGCAGAGTGTTGGCTGTGAGGAAGGAATCTATGGCTGCTCTGCTACTGTTTTTCCTTTTGGCCGTCTCAGCAGTTTCCGCTGATGAAGGTGAGCTTCACTTGCTGTCCATGGTATGCTTTTATGTGTTTTTCTTCCTATGCCTTGTTTGTTTTGAGCAACTTTAAGCTTCATTTTCTCAATAATCCAATGGTTAGTTATGATTATAGTCTAATGGTTAGTTATGATTATAATCTAATGGGTCTCCTTCTGATTACTTTTTCCCGCTTCGGATTCCCGCATTGTGTTTATGTGCCAAAGACCCTTCTTTTTTTCTTCAAGTTCCATCTTTTTGTGTCTTGAACTTGATGTGTTTCCTATGCGGGTTTGCTTCCTTTTTCTTCTGGGTCTCTTTTAAGTTTGTTCAAACTGAAAAGCAGTTTTCCCTTATAAATTTGCTGCGTCATTGAGTTTATTGTGACTGATTTTTATATAATAGGTCCGCATAATGATGATTCAATCTCTGTGTAATGCCCTCCTTCATTACTTTTAAGTCTAGACAACATTATTTGCCACTGTTTTGGTCAGCGGTTGAGCTTTGAACAAAAATTAAACTGCTATAGTTTAGAGTGGTCTTCACTGTTTGACTTTGGTAGTCGTTGAGGTGCAGTTATGTTATTTACTCTGTTTCATCGTATTTCAGATTTTGAGCAAACAAATCCTTTAATTTGCTCTTTAAAATTTCAATATTGCTGCACCAAGACATGTTCTTCCTGAAAAATGCGGACTTGGAAAAGGGGGTGAGAGAGAGAGAGAGAGAGAGAGTGCATTTAGCTGATTGGTGAAATTTCCTTCTCTGGCCAAAGCAGGGGTAGTCTCTGCGAGAAATCTTCCCCTTGTTGAAAGTTTCCGATCTGTCGTCAGCTTTTCAGTCAAAACTATTGCGTCCCAGCTGGTCCAGCTCATTTGGCGGTCCTTTATACCTAAACTACATTTGCAGATAAATGTACAAAAAATTGTGGGACCAAAATACCCTTATTGGATAATCCAAAAGATAGTGTTAAATGAACACTTGGGTCCTGGAAATCTACTACTTCGGTGGGCATTGTTGTCATATTAGTCAAGAAGATAACATGCCCCATAGTTGGTCCAATATATTTTATGCATTTGCCCATCACCTCTCTCAGCTGTTCTGTTTATGGAGCTTTTTCTGCAGAGCATTCTCAAATGTCTTTTTAAGCGTGAAGAGAAAACGGAAAAAACTTCTAGATTATATTGATTTGAAGGCCTTCACTGTTCATTGATCTATGTAATTGCCTGATGTTTCCCTTGTGTACCAGATGCTAATACCATTAATTCACATGGTTTCAATTTTCCAAATGTTTATTATTCATTTTTATCTGTGATTCTGTTGTTGATATAAGATTTTAGGACTCTTTCTCTCCCCTCCCCTCCCTCTTAAAAAAATCAAGAGAGAAAGAGAGAGCAATAGTCTGGAAAATGACCTTGAAGCTTGTCATTAGTGGAAATGAGGTGTCACCTTTTTAATGATTGAGAGATCCAACTTCTTTATAGGCATTATGATTCTAGATTTTCTCCAAACTTTGAAATAAATATTTCTATTCTGGGAGAGGTAAACTGTCAGTTTTCTATGAATTATTGTTTCTCCCTTACCACTTGTATTGAATACTAATCACAGCTGGTTGATTGTCTCATTATGCATTTCTATTAAGAAAGAGAATATAGTGGAATCTATGCCCAGCTAGTAAGATATGTGAATTATTGTTCTCTGCCAGACTCACTGCAAAATATGACAAATTTATGTCTGAATTTAAATAATACCCCTTGCGCTCTCTGTGATATAATCAAAGGCTGTCTACTTTAACTCAACTAATTAGTGCTACTGCTATATCTTATATATTGTAATCCGTGGAACTTACCCAATGATAAGAGAGGTAATATCTCTCCTAGACCGGAGATTAGAGGATTGCTTCCTGCATTTTGATGATTCCAAACTTGAATTCCTCAGACTCAGATTGCTTAATGATGATCATGAGGGTCTACCTAAGTAGTACGTACTAATTACAGTTGTTCCTTAAAAGTCAATTAAACTGACAATGTCAATATGGCTTTTCTGAGCATCCATAAAATCATAACATATTTATTGTACATGTCAGATTTATGAGTTATACTGTCTATTCTATGTGCATGATCAAGTGTTTTTGAAGATGGAAGAGATTCTGATTGCGGGGACACATTTCTTGTCTAATCTTGCGCTCTTTGTTAATCTTTTGCAGATGCCTTCATCGGTGTAAACCTTGGTACAGACCTCTCTGACATGCCAAGCCCAACTCAGGTGGTTGCACTTCTTAAAGCTCAAAATATTCGACATATCAGGCTCTATGATGCAGACAGAGCCATGCTCCTCGCTCTTGCAAACACAGGCATCCAAGTGACTGTTTCTGTTCCCAATGATCAGCTCCTTGGGATTGGTCAGTCCAATGCCACTGCTGCCAACTGGATTGCTCGCAATGTGATAGCCCATGTCCCTGCCACCAACATCACTTCTATAGCTGTTGGATCTGAAGTCCTAAGTGCCCTCCCAAATGCTGCTCCAGTCCTAGTTTCTGCCCTAAAATTCATTCACTCTGCACTTGTCGCTTCTAACCTTGACCGCCAAATTAAAGTCTCTACTCCACACTCTTCAGCCATTATTCTTGACTCCTTTCCACCGTCCCAAGCCTTCTTCAATCGCTCATGGGACCCTGTCATGGTTCCCCTGCTCAAGTTTTTGCAGTCTACAGATTCATATCTCATGCTTAATGTCTACCCATATTATGATTACATGCAATCAAACGGTGTAATCCCCTTGGACTATGCACTTTTCCGCCCTCTCCCTCCAAACAAGGAAGCTGTGGATGCTAATACACTACTGCATTATACTAATGTCTTTGATGCAATTGTTGATGCAGCGTATTTTGCAATGTCCTATCTAAACTTCACTAAACTCCCCATTGTAGTGACCGAGTCAGGTTGGCCCTCCAAGGGTGACTCATCAGAGCCAGATGCCACACTTGATAATGCCAACACTTACAATAGTAACTTAATTAGGCATGTGCTTAACAACACAGGGACTCCTAAGCATCCTGGGATTGCTGTTAGTACTTACATTTATGAACTCTACAATGAGGATTTGAGACCTGGATCAGTCTCTGAAAAGAATTGGGGACTTTTTAATGCAAATGGAGTGCCAGTTTATACCTTGCACTTAACAGGTGCTGGAACTGTTTTGGCAAATGACACGACAAATCAAACCTTTTGTGTTGCGAAGGAGGGTGCTGACCAAAAGATGCTACAGGCAGCCTTGGACTGGGCTTGTGGACCGGGGAAAGTTGATTGCTCACCTTTGCTCCAGGGGCAACCATGTTATGAGCCAGATAATGTGCTTACACACGCAACATATGCTGTCAATGCCTATTTTCAGCGGATGGCTAAGTCTCCTGGGACTTGTGATTTCAAAGGGGTGGCTACGGTTACTACCACAGACCCAAGTAAGGCATCATGACATGTTTATTTCTATTATAATATCATATAAGGCAGAACAGTTTATGAGCATAGATCATCTAAAACTTAGGTAGTGAAGAGATCAAGTAGAAAAGTAATAAACCCCATCAAAAATATAATATAAAAGAACATCGTAGGGTTCACATGTGATCGTTTTCTATTTTATGGCATGGGCTTTCACATATGATTAATTTTTGCACTACCCGTGTTATATTCTGCATTTTTGTTGGTGAAATTCTTGCTTTGTTACTGATATATTTCATTGCCAAATCTTGCAGGTCATGGCACTTGTATATTTCCAGGAAGGTACAAGTTAAAGCTTTCGTGTGTTATTATTATGATCATATTTAACTCTCATGGGACTGCCAGAAATGATCTAACTAACCTTTTGCTTCCTTTTTCCTTTTTTGTGAATTTAGTGGTGGAAGAAACAGCAGTTTCATAAATGGCACATCACTGGCTCCATCTTCAAATTCCACAACTTCTGGGTGTCTTTCACTATTTTTCTACAGTGGCGGTTCCTTCACAAGCTCTGTGATCATTGGTCTCTTAGTTTTGAGTGCAGTTTTCTTGTAGAACAACGTGAATTTGTATTTTCTGCAACTCTATTGATAGAACTGAAATATTTTTTAGAGATTCAGCTTGGCACCTGTTGGGGAACTTGCAGCAATACCCAATTTTGTACCCTCCCAAGAGGAATTAGGGGGTGGCAAGCTTGATTGAACATATATAGCCAGCAAAGTGGTTGAAAGTGAGTTATCCGTTGGAATTTGTAGAAACAAATCAGAGGGGATCTTTTAGGATTATTTTCTGTAACTACCTCATTTGCGTGATTTTCCATATTCTTTATGCTTGACTTCAATTCGTCGGTGATGAATTTAGACCCGTGGACAAGTCAACCGTATCTTCATGTAAATCTGCCTTTTAATCCTTCTATCCTGGCTGTTATTTCGTAGGTTTTGTGAGTATTAGCTTCAATGAGGAACATAAATCATCCAATTGTTCAATTGACAGTGCACAATCAAATTATTCAGTTATATAGTGCAAATCTATAATGAACTTCGCATAGCATGCTTTGCACGTTTAAACCATTCCTCGTCTGAAGATGTCCTACTATCAACTTGTATCAAAATAAAACAATTGGATCCTCATCATCAGTCAAGCTCAAGACCTCGTCCTCTGGATATTAAAATTTGCACAACAAACATCACAGACGAAACCTGTTGACCCGGGAGGACAGGACCCGTTGTGGGCGTGTTGCTTACAATATGGCTTGTTGCAGAAGTCACATTTGGGGAGCTGAAGCCAGCAATCTAAACACAGGATATCTGCACACACAGCCTCTTCTACTTCTTCAGAGTCGTCCACGCATCCACCGCATTCTTGGCACCTTGGAATGCAAAAGTTGCATCCCCTGCAATCACTCATTGACCTTCCTATCTTTCTCTTGCAAGTCCTTCTTGGACAGTCGAAAACCATCCTAACCTCGTCGCATTTTGGGCAAACTTCGACATCGATTGTAGCGTAATCTTTGTCATTTCTGAATGTTGGCACGTCCCTGTGCTCGTGGAATAGGAGAGGCCATGATCCTGACTGCTCTTGCTGTGATAGGTTCTTCTCAAGATAAGGCCGAAGTGTTTCGAGGTGTTCTTTGTTTATGTTGTAGATACCATTGATCATTAGGCTCTTTAAACCGTGATGATGTTCAGACAATGTCTTCACAGCTCCTATGACTCCCTCAGGTGTTAAGCCAGTGCATCCCGGTAGGTAGAGCTGAATCAAAAGCAAACACAAAATAGGAGACAAATAAATAATAAATAAATAAATAAACTTTTAATTTCATCTCTATTAAATCATAAAGTAATTCCTAACAATCGTATCTTATCCACATCTAATAATTAATTACATGAGAAATAATTAATCAACATCCATACCTTGTTGATAAGAGGATTTCGCTCTACAACCCTTTGAAGCCCATCATCTGTTATCTTCGCACAATCCATTAGAGCCAAAGTTCTCAACCTGCCATTCGCCTTGGATGTGATTTTCATCAAAATCTCATCGGACAGCCTCAAGTTCAATGGCGATTTGACCGCGATATCTAGCCATGACAATACATCCTTGTTTACAGCGTCTCTCAGTGACGTGCAAACTCCGCTCATGGCAAGAAGCTCGAACAGAGGAAGGTAAGCTGAAATAAGGGATAAAGCCATGTGTGGGGGCCCTGCTTTTTTGTCCTGGGAGTTTTCAATAGCTTCATGTTCTTGCTGCCCCATAAACTGTGAAATCTCCATGGTTTTGGGTTTCAGCTGTCGCAGCGGTTTTTTTCTTTTCTTCCAGAAATAAATCGAAAGGAGATTTCACAGTTTGTACTGGGGTGAGAGAGAGAAGGAGATTACAACTCTGGTTTCGTGATTGGGACTGATAAAGAACAGTTTGTGCAAGTTGTAAGTCGGTAGAAAGAAAATATCTCAAACTTTCTTTCTTTACACGCAAATAACACTGCACTGTCAAATGCTATGTTACATTTAATCAAAATTTTAACAGCATTCTAAGATATGGATACGTCAGATACCATGGCATGGCTTCAAAAACGTTTCGCTGCAACAAATATTTAACTTAACGGAAAACGAGTCTCTGCAACTCATTAGAAGAAAATATCTCTCATTTCTGCTTTGAATATAAAGCTCATGAGCGCAGCATGAAAAACTACAAGAGGGTACACTGATGTTCATAATTATTTTGAAGTCTATAATTTTACATATAAACTGACAGTGCACAATTATAAAAACGTCACGCCGACAAGCATAGAACTAAAATGGGTGGAAATTTTCAATGGTCCAAAGGCTCAACTGCTGTTTTGAAAAGAAGAATGTAAACCTTGTCGATCGAAAAATACAAGAACCCTCCTGTGGAATGTGTGACATACGAACCAAAGCTAGTTCCCACAATGCAGTGCCAAGCTGGACCATATGACGAGTCAAATTCCTGTCAAGTAATAAAGATACATTGTGAACTCTCTATATGTCAGAGCACAGCACGTTAGGGTTAAAGAAGAAGAGTTACTCGTGAGCATATTCAGTTAAAAATTGCATTTACACTGCAATGCTTGCTTGCACAACGTGAGCATATTCAGTTATCAATTTTCAAAGCCAAAAAACGATGTGAAGCTATAATTTATCAAGAAGTTTGTCATAAACTGATGTTTGTGGGAGTCTGAGAGAGAGGAATTCAATTTTATTCAAGAAATTGTTCTGGTAGAAGAACAGAGAATGAGAACTGAGGTGTCAATCAGGCATAACCTAATTTTCTTGAGACTTACAAAGCTCAATTCAAGTCTCAGAGACAGAAAATGCCTGCTTATTTGATAACCCATAGTAAGCTGTGGACCAAGTCCCTTCATTTCTCATTTTTTTTCCTTTTTCTTATAAACACTCAAAATCCTGAATACAGATAAATCCCCTTTGATTTTTTATCATTAAAAACCCAGATGGATTAATAAAAGAAAACATAGCCAGAAATATATCAGAAACCTATGCGGCAAACATTGAGATTGAAAATCCTCCATATACATATATTTATGGTTATGTGCTTGTGTTCGTGCATGTATCAAACTGAAACGGGACCATTTGTAGTTTACCTCATTTGATCTATACCCATTACTCAAAATACTTCAATTAACAATGTAAGCATGACCAAGTTCGAGTTTTTAACTCTGACACACACACTACAAAGTTACAAACCAAAAGGATCAAATCCCAGAAAGACAATCAAAAAGTATAATCTGATCGAGGCAAAGATGTGACCTTCTTAAGGGCAAGAGCGAGTCGTTTGCTGTCGAGTTTCCCCGGCATGGAGTCCAGGTGGTCCCTCGCAGAGCGAAAGGCGCGGTTTTGCAAAGGGGTGGGCATGTCAGAGGCCCTAACTCGGACATTGAGGAGTTCATGGTGGTCTTGTTGCTCTACAGACTTCTTCTTCTGTATTAAACTGCTGAGGAACTTGCTTCGCCTCTCTAGCTCCAACTCTGCTCCCTCCATTTGCTGTGTCGATGATTCACTCTCTCATATCAGTCAAAAAAGCCTCTGTCTTGCTTGCTTTGAGTCAGTGGATGGCACTGCTTATGCATTCGATATGTTTGGAAAAAGGTTTCTGAGAAGAAAGAAAAGGATATAAAGAGAGAGTGAAGAGAGAGGGAGCAGACAGAGGGGTCTCGATTGCAATGTTCTTTGGGTTTGGGGAGATTTTGATATATTAATTTTGTTTGTGTTTTCTTTTGATGCATTGTTTGTTGCGTATGGACGGGGTCGTTGGACTAGGTGAAGAGGAGACTACTTTTCCATACTTCGATTACTTGAAAGCTACGGACCAAAACAAACAGCCTTGCCGTAATGGCGCAAAGAATTTCTTTTGTTTTCTGTCGTTTAGAGAGAATTTCTGTATGACTGTCCTAAACACTTCACCATGCTGTAATTTTCTTTTCTCAGAAGGAAAAATAAAATAAAAATAAAAATAATAACATTTTCTTTGGCACATTGGGTAAGAGATAATACCAAAATATAATTTGTGCTGAAGCTGAGCTGAAAGGGTGAATGGCGTTTTCAATGTTGGAAGTTGCAACAAAGCATCTAAAACAATTGTGTGATGTTTGTTTTTTACAAAGTGATATTTTAATTACTCTAATATATAGAAAGAGATACCGAACTCGAGTGCAAAAGACGACATTGGCCTGCCCAATATCTGCACAACTATAATGTTTGTTTATATGTACCATTCGTGTAAATTCTGTTCTACTATTACAACTTTAATTGGTTGTACAAAATTAACAAGAATACCTTACAAGTAACTGGGCAGTCATCCGGAATAGGATTCAACCTTTTCCAGGAAAAACACGGCAATTGCGGAGAAAAGAAAGGGAAAGAAGTAAGAATGATGATAGGGTCCATGGGGGCCCTCTGAAATAAATAATGTTTGAAAAGTTTTGTGAATGTTGACTGACTGGACTAAAGTCCTGAATGCGTGGATCCCACTTCATGGTTTTCATCCCACCCAAGCTTCAAACTTTCCACGTAGATATACAGACAAACAAACTACCTGTCCAACCACACAAATAAAAAAGACATTGGAACACTGGATAACGTATCATCCAGTCGGGCCGGATCTAAATTTTTGGATTCGGATCAGGATTTGTCGGGCTTTTTCTTTCTTTAGGTCAAGCTGATGTTTGAAAGGAATCGGCTCGAATCCGTTTGTAGAGTTGGGCTTAAGTGGACATTTCGGGTCGGTCCAAGCCAGGCTATCCATAGGCCGCCCATGGCTTCTTCTTTGTTTTTTGGCCTTATATTGCCTTGCCTTATTTTCATTTATTTAAGTTTATAATATAAATAAGGAAGTATCATCAATTTGAATTCAATTAAAAAAATACTAGAAAATTAAATTCCCAACCAATTAAAATATAAAAATCCAATTTTAATAGAAGATACATTTTATACCAATATTGATACCTCAATAAGTCTATATATACTTTATACTAAAATCTCATAAAATCGGCAAATGACCCAATAGTATAGTGATTTGAAGTAATTGTTGAGAATACTAATTCATGATATTGAACTCCAAATCTATTTATTTATGTTTGTTTACACGACAGAAAATTACATCAAACATTCAACATTTCATGCATCTTTTATTATATATAAAATCATGACATTGAACTCGGAATAAACATTAATTTAATGAATATATATACACATATATATTATATATATATATATATGAAAGAAAAAATAAATAAAGGCTCGCGTTTTTTCTTCTTTTCTGGCTTAAATCATGCTTTAGGAAGTTTCATTTATCGCGACTCATGCCTTGCTCCACCACCGGAGGCACAGGGGTCATTGCCACTTCCCGGTTCCTTTCCTCGATATTTCCATGCCATCCTATTCAATTAATTAATCACACACGTCGTCAACATTAAGTCAATGCATTTTAAAGACCAAAACAAAGCCATATATATATATATATATATTCGATTGGAAAAAGGTCACTTGAACTTCTGGCTAAAACAAAAAGGAAATTTGCCCAAGGTTTGCCTTATTCCGCTCTGGTGAACACCAACTTCGGGGTTGCTTCGTCGAGGGTGCAGAGTTGGGGGAGGATTTATCCTTGTACCAGGGAAAAAAAAAATAGGAGGAGGAAATTTGCTTCTAGATGTTTTAAAAGGACACTTGCTTCGAAAAAAACTTTCTTCTTTTCTACTTCTTTCCTTTTAAAATATATATTAGAATAGAAAGAGAGAAAAAGACAAAGTTTATGCAAACATGAAACAGATAGATGACTAATAGTCTAGTAATTAAGCACATGATTGTCCATGTTGTTTGGTGTGATGTTCCCTCCCTCGGATTCGTATTCAAGTTATCAGATTAGTATTAAATATAGAGTTTAACCATAATTAATTGTGGGATTGATTAGATTAGAAGAAGAACAGGAAGGAGGAACAAGAATTGAGTATAGTAGTATGTACCGATGGCCATGTCGAAACCGCGAGATTGGAGGTGGCGATACTCTTGGCAGAGGGCGCAGAACTCGCAGAAGCAGTGAAGCAAGCAGTCGTTACAAGGGCTCTCCTCCAAGGCGTATTGCTGTCTCATTTTGGATCGATAGAAGCATGAGTAGAAGCAAGGGCAACCTGTCACGCACGATATCAGCGTGTACAACGCTCCACTTGCACCACATGCTGCCATGCCATTGCATTTCATCATAACACCCACAATTATATTAATTAATTCATTAAACAATCAAACGAATCAACAACACAAGCTAAAAGGGTAATTAATCTACTTACACGTAGAACCCTTGTCCACAATCTCTGCAATTTGGCCAAAAGTGATGCATGGACACCAACATGTTATGCAACCTGCAGTTGTTATTATTAGTACAATCAAGCAAAGTAAATTACCCCTAAGATATATCATCATATAAATAGATAAAAATGATGCTTTGCTAAGCCTAAGCTTACAGTTTTTGGGATCGGAGAAGCAGTCACAGAGGCCAGAGGACCAAGGCACGGGAGCTCTAGGGCGGAGATGAGGAGGGACTTGGCTGTGGCTGTAAGGGTGGCTGTGGCTGTCGGTGTCTTGATCCTGACTGGTGCTAAAATAGGGCTCCGTGCTCGAGCTCACTGGGATCCCCGTGGGCGGCCCACCCTGATGATGCAGCTGCTCTGATGCGTACTTGTTGTAACCATTTGGGTTTGATGATGAGTACATGATGATGATGAGGATGACCTGCAGATATTGAACAAGAGATTAAGAATGCCTTAAGGTTTTTGGGAGAAGAGAGTGGTTTTGCAAGCTACCCACCTACAATAATGTTCTCCTAATTGAGAAATAGATATGAAGGCCGGCTAGACTTTGAAAAAGCCAGCAATTAATTATTGACGAATGTTAAACAATGAACGGTTGGTTCACGTTGGCCCCTTGCTCTCACTGGTAGGCCACCTTGACTTTGACTCAGTAGACTTAGTCTCCCCTCTGCCAGCCTTCGCGTGTGTTTCCTACACAACCATCCCCTCACAAATCTTATCTACTTCTATTCTGTTCATGTATTTTCACCATCAATACTTGCGTATTTTATGAGAAGTTTGTCTGCATTTTTAGATGATCATTCATGACATCGTCATCAACAACATCAATATAAGAGGATGCGAAAGGACATGCAATATATTAACATTCGAATCTATTAACGATACTGGAGCAAAGAGGAGGGTGTTGAAAACAATTGGGTGGTTTACCACACACCTCAACTCGGCTCTTGTACCAAAACGTTGGTCTAGTATAATAAATTAAACATTCATAACGGGCCCAATATGCCATGTAAACATTTGTTTCCACTGCCCATGAGGAGCCCAGTCAAGGCTGTAAGCGCATTTATAAATCCAATTTGCATAGGCCTTTTGAGCTTCAGGAGTTTGATCCAATGGTCTTGCAACTAATGGGCCTATACATTTGTTGATGCGAAAAAGTAGCTCAGCAATTTTTGGGCTCAACTTAGTGATGTTAGGCCTTCGGTATGCCTCGGGTCTCTGTAGAGCATGTCATCTGCAAGATAACAAACATTCGGTAAGACCTTAGGCACCGGTGTGGTGCCGGCCGAAGGCTCTCCGATGCTTCAGTAAGTTCGGATTTAGTAAACTTAGACTGACAGATCAATAGGCTGTATGCCGTAAGTTCCGATTACCTCCATTAGGGATAGTGGTCCTATTTATAGGCCTTGGGAGGTGTGCTTATTGTTTAGAATTTCGATGTGGGACTGTGGACGTCGATTATGGGCACGACACGTGTCTTAAAGAAGGAAGTTGCCCTAATCGCTGGATCGGTAGGCAAGATGCCGAAGGCCACCATTGCTAGGCTCAATCTTGTCCACGTGTCTGATCCTAATAGGCTGTTCATTTTGGTATAAACAACATTCCCATTCCAAAGTTAGGAATGAGGAACAATTACTTGAGATCCTGTATTGGAATCCTTCTTTCTCAATATCGCTTGTATAAAAAAAAATTATAATTGTGAGTTGTTGCTGCACAATTATAACCAATTTACCGATTGGTATAATTAATTTTAAATTTATTTACTTTCCACCACTAAAATATTACCATATCACCTTACAAATTATTTAGTGATCGAAATTTATGGTGCGTTTACTAATCAAGAATTGGAATTCTCATCAAGAATTGAATTCCACCTATAGAGGATTCCTATGTTTACTTCATATTAAGGTATTAAAAAGTAAGTGGGGCCCATACAGAATTAGAAATTGTATTCCTGATTTTGGAGGAATTCAATTTATGGATGGGATGTGGTATTCTAATTCCTAGATAATTAATCCATTAGAAATTCATCTTTTTTACTCATTATATTCTCACACAATTTTGAAAATTTTCAAATTTTCCATATACTTTACTCAACAATAAGGACATTTTAGTAATTAGTATCACTCCTACCTCAATTCTATATGATTTAATAAATAACTTCAATAAAAAACCGAAATCTAATTATTCTCAATCTAACTCCTCGTCAATTCAATTGCCCCTAATTTACTTAGGAATTAGTAAACATGTCATTCGACAAACTTAAAGTTTGAAATGCAACATGACAAAAAAGCTGCTTTTTTTTTTCCCCTTGGGTACAACTTTAAATGCAACTTTGTTGTTTCCTCATTGATTGGGTATTTCTTGGGAACAATTAGAATGTTTCAGACTAAACGGGGTAGGTAGGTAGGGGTGGGTGACCTTAGCGCACCACTACAACACTCATTTACATTTGCTTGCTGCTCAAATCAATAGTGGGCTGAAAAATATGCAAGTAGGCCCACCAACGGCGCATTGATGTACGTTGTGGGCTCTGATTCTTGGAAGAAGGGCCTCGAGTCTGGGAACGCATCTGAGCTATTGGGACCCCCCACCACCGCTCCCACCAGCAAATTCGGGTTCGGATTTGGACTCAAGAAATATCGAGAGCCGGCTTTGCAACCAATGTGGGCCGGGTGGACCTGAACCGATGGCAGTGAGCTGCCCCGGTGGTGTATCCTCTGCGGGTAGCGTGCACCGTATCCAACCATGTACGACATCATCAATGGATTATCACCAAGTATGTAGTCCACCTGAAAATTGCATTGAGGAAAAGCCAAAACATCAGTTACAATACTGTCCCCAAACTTGAATATAATTGCAGAAGCACCCTTGTTCACGTGGGTGGGTGCCCTCTGGATCAAAGGCCATTCAATCATTCATTCTTCATTCAATGTGTGGACAATTTCATAGAATTCTTGTAGGTACAAATACATATGTAGACAAGTATATATTATTATTATATATGGCAGAAAGTTAAGGTAAGACTCAGACAGGACAAGATCAAAATCTATCCGTTAACTTGTCTGATCTAGAGATGGTCCCTGATTGATATGCATATACATATATATGTGGTTTTGATTAATTACCTGACGTTTAGCCAACAGTTTGAGGAAAGCAGGGGAGGCTGAAGTCTGGCCACAGGGCACGACTTTGTTGGCATGGCTTAGATAGTTGGAATAAGCCAAAAGTAGGAATGAAAGTGAGGTTACATGCTGCATGTTACTGCCTCCAGGTTTGAAGATCAATCCACCTTTCAAAAACCAGATCAATTACTCCACTTATTTGATTAGCAAGTAAAGTAAATCGGGATTAAGGGTTTAACAACCCATTAGTGACAAACAAAAGCAATTAAAGCAGGACAAAATTTTCTCATGAACCCAAGAATGAAGAATTTGGTTTGGTGGCATCACATTATTTTCTCGGACGCTGGGTTTTTCTAACAATTATTATTTAAAGCTTGTGATCTCGATTTTTTTAATGAAGAAAAATACCTGGAGAATATTGGACTTGAGGATGAGAAAGTCCGGGCAATATGGAACATATAAACTCATCAGCATTTTGCTTGAAAGATTGGAAATAATCTGCTTTTCCCATCAGCACTTCCTGCCACATATTTTTACACAAACCAAAAGTACATTTTAATTTCCTTCTCTGAGAGACTGAGAGACTGAGAGACCGAGAGTGACACATAAATTGTGTATATTTTCATTGCAAAACCCAATCAATCGGGCATTCACTCGAGAAGATGATCTTCAATTCATTTACAATCTTTCAGTGTCTGTCATGTATCAATAATATTCAGTGCACAAAACATAACGTGGTATCTTGCTCAAAAGAAAAAAACATAAGTGGATAACAAGATAAACATGTGAAAAGGATCACATTTTTTGAAATGTGAGACTGACCAGGTTTGAAGAAAAGTTGTTCGTAGAGGAATAATGGCTCAAGGCGTGTGGGAAGAACCATCTTCTCAGCCTTTAAGCACATGCATGCAGCAGTGACTCACTGATTCAGGGACCCACGAGAGTCCCAGATCTAAAGATAGAGGTGCAGACCTGGACGCCACCTGGCTCATCACTGCTCTTTTTCTGATTGAAGGGACAACACAATGCCAAAAATCCATTGACTCTAAAGTCCTTTCTGCCCCTCATGGATCATCCTTGTTTAAAATCTAAACGTTGCTAATGCAGTGGCATTTTGGACTATGAAGAAAAAGAAGAAAAGTCCCCAAAACAGGAAGGGAAAGCCTAATTGTAAGCTAACAGCGATCATGTGCAATAATCCACTTGATTCGTAAACCTTTTCCAACAAATTTTCCTTTCGCTGTTTTTTATATTTATCAAACAAGTTTTAACTTTACATAACTATTCCTAAGCATGTATTATTAATTTATTTCACGAAGTAAGATGTACGGATCGCACATCTTTAACTTATTCAAGTTGATGAAAACCGTATGGCCATGGGGTCCACTGCACCACCAAAACCATGTTGCACATATTGGATAATGGATAATAATTTGCACAAATTCATTTCTATGTGATAGCTTCACTTTTATTTTTCTTTATTTATAGGGTTCTTCATTTAGACATAGTTCCAGAGCACGTGATTCGCAGAGCATACACCTATGTTTGCATTAAGGCCATAGATAAATAAATGGTTGCCACATTCCATACAAGAGCATAAAGACAAAAATAATAAAAACACTGATAGAGACAAACATACTTATTAAATAAGTTATTAATATAACGATTAAGCAGTAAGAAGAAGTTAATTAAGAAATTTATGTTAAGATTTGCTTCGCTTAACATAAGTACCTTGGAAATGAGGATGTTAATCCCAGCATGCTTGTTATCCCAACCAAACTCGTTAATAGTATCCCCTGCCCTCAACACCACCTCGTTCCTCACAATGTATTCTCGGTAAACGCGCCTCCTCGACGCCTTGTGCAACCACGCTGCTCCCCAAAGCAACTCGTCCTGCGATGTTAAATCATTCTATTAACGTAGCTGCTAGCTGATGGGCCCAAGATTTTGGACCTATAACCAGATCTAACGGCTGAAAATCAGTTTCAGTAACTCCGAAATGGAGAAACAGAAAAAATATTTATAAAGAAAGTCAAAAAACTTGCTGACCTGGAAACCGTTCACGTCGCAGTAAAAAGGGCACACGGCAGAGCGCAGGCTGGCGCTGTACGCACCCCGGTGCCTGTCAGCAAACTCGAACACCTACAAACAGATATCGTCCATTTACTTTCACGGTTTTACTTTTACCCAAGGTTAATGAATAAACAGGGAGTGAGTGACAGCGACGTACCCTAACGGCTCGATTGAGGAGCAATCTAGAGTAGGCGGGGTCACGTGACCTGAACACGATGGACGCAGCGGCAAGTGCAGCGGCCGTTTCACCTGCCACGTCAGATCCCGGATGGTTTTTATCGATCTTGTACACCGCGCGAGACGTGTCCATGTCCTCGGGCCTCTCCCAGCAGTTGTGGTCAGAGTACGGATCCCCGACCTGGACGAAAACGACGTCGGGCACCGCCGTCGCCTT